CGTTCGACGCTCCAGATCTTTGCACGTTGCACTTGGTAACCGCTGGAAACCGTTTTCCCTCCAAACGCTTGAATTTCAAACCGTCCCACTCTGAACCATCGAACATCTTCGTCGAGAAGCATCTTCGACGAGAAACACCTTCGACGTCGAAGGCAACCAACTTCTCCCTTGGAAGAAATCTTCTAAGTACATTGTCATCTTTCGATGGGCATTTCGACAGACCCAGCTGATCGAAAACATCCTTCAGCTTTAATGGCTGATATTAATGAAACAAGGGTGTCGAATTTAAAAGCCAACACCCGCCCCCGCCCCCAAACCCGCCAGGGGATGGAAATTCACCCCCAGACCCGCCCCCAATGGAGAACGGGTCACCCGCACCCGCACCCACCCGCGAAAACTGTTTTTTTTTAAATAAAAAAATATCTATTTTTTTCACAAATTTCCTGGACAGCATTAACAAATACATTAAAAATACAAAATTCGCCATTGATTTGAGTAAATAATTGTAGGATTTAATATTCAAACACCACTCCAAATATTTTTCTATCATAACCCTTCAATCAACTATAATTGGTTGTGAACTTGTGATTCATTAAAAGAGTGTAATCTTTCAATATATCAAAGTATAAATCACTCCCAACAACCAACAATTTTTTTGCAAAGTACAAATACAAAATTAAAACAATACAATCAACAAAAGAACCATTCCAACAACATGGAACAAAATAACCATTCCAACAACATGGAACAAAATATACGATATCATCATAACAAAAAAAGATCCAAATAAACAACAAATTTTCTAATAATCTTCATCTTCGAGGCGGGAGTTGGAAATAGAAGTAGCACCATCAATCAACAACTCACCTGTGTTAAAAAATAAAAGTTAAAATATAAAAATTTAACTTGACAAATTTAATACAAATAGTATGAATAATACCTTCATCATCAGACTCCATTTCAGTTAGTAAAATAGCATTTTCATTTCCCACGTTATATTTCAAATTACCTATCAATATAGTAAAATATAGTCAATGATAGTCTTGGCAAGTAAAAATAAAAAATATAAACAAGAAAGATCTTTACCATTATTCTCAGCACTCCATAACCAACTTCTTGCACACATCAAAGCTTCTAAAGTGGTCCAATGAAGTCGACTTCGATGAGGGCTTACGATATGACCACTTGTACTAAATGCGGATTCAGAAGCCACGGTAGAAATAGGAATTGCCAATACATCCCTTACAATTGCTTGAAGTGTTGGATACTTAATCCCATTCAACTTCCACCATAATAAAATATCAAAATCTGGACTTCTTGGTAAAACTTCCTCTTCCAAATAAACATCCAACTCTGTTTTAACAGATGAAGTTCTAGCTCTTTTTTTTCTTATGACATACAAATCATAGTCTTTCAAACCATCATTACTAACATTTCCAACATTAGCATCCAACATTTCAGATTCACTTCTAGAATCCTTGTTCATTTTTAATTGATAATCATAAACTAACTCGTAACACAACTGTCTGATTGACTTAACTTGGGAATCAACATCATTACCATAGAACACTCCATAATAATATTCAAGCAAATCAGTTTTATACCTAGGATCCAAAACAGCAGCAACCCCCATTATTTCATGAATCACACTCCAATATTTTTCAAACTTTACCAACATATTTTCTGCCATTCTTTTTACCAATTCGTCAGAGGATTCAATCCACTCAAGTAATGAAACTTTAATCTGACATATCTTAGGGAAGTATTCATTGGCAGTTGGATACTTAGTTCCAGAAAACACTTCAGTGATAGAATTGAACAATTTCAATTTTACACAAATCTCTTTTGCAAATTTCCAATGTAAAGTTGTTGGCAAACAAGTGTACTGAGTTACACGGATTGCTAATCTATCAAATACCTCTTCATACAAAATAGCAACATCAAGCATCTTATAGGTAGAATTCCATCTAGTTGGACAATCTAAAACTAAATTCTTGGTGCAAGGTATTTTTAATTGTTTACATGTCTCCTCAAACCGTTCCTTCCTTTTAGGAGTTGCTGTCCAAAATGCAACGCTATCTCGAATCATCTCTATTCCATCTTTCACAACTTCTAACCCTTCTTTTACTATCAAATTTAGTATATGTGCACAACAACGCATATGAAGTAAGGCCCCGTCCCTTAATAATGTCTCTGGTTTCAACTTAGCCTTAATTTTATCAATCATTGCATCATTTGTGCTACAATTGTCCAAAGTGATAGTAGACAATTTTGAATCAATGTTCCAATCCATCAAACATTCAACCAATGCACCACAAAGGTTTTCACTAGTATGAGGTGCAGGAACATAAATGAACCTAACATAATAAGATTCACAAAACTAGTATAAATGTGATTTACCTCAAAATGTGATTCACAAAAATATATATAATATGCAATTAATCTATTATTAGAAGAAATTATATTTACCTCAAAATGTGATTACAAAACTATATATAATATGCAATTAATGTATTATTCGAAGAAATTAGATTTACCTCAAAATGTGACTCTGTAAATTCCAGTTTCCATCAATGTAATGAGCAGTGACAGCCATATATCCCTTTTTTTGATTGCTCGAGGTCCAAAGGTCAGAAGTAATAGCCACTCTTCCTTCAAGATTTTCTAACAACTTCAAAGTTGATGATCTCTCCATATTGTATACTTTGAGTATCTCCTTCTTTATAGTATTTCTACAAGGAACTTGAAATATTGGTTGGAGAGAAGTTGAGTATCTTCTAAAACCAATATGATCCACTATTGAAAGCGGATATTCATGCAAAATAATTGCATGTGCAAGCTCTTTCTTAGAATTTTCTGCATCATAAATTCCAGTACTCAACTCTTGTTTACCTTGCATGGATCTAGGCGTAAGAATTGTTTGTCCTTTATCAGATAGGTTCAAAATCTTCTTTTTAGGACAACATCCCAAATGTCCTTTTAAATGTGACGTCCCATCATTTGATGATCCATTAAGCTTCTTTGAGAAATAATTACATTGAGCCTTATCTTTTCCGTCAACTTTGACCTTTGTAAAATGATTCCATACAAAACTTTTCTGTCTGGATCGATGACTTGTGGTTGTTTGGCTATCAACCTCCATAATATCATTTGGCGTGGGAGGAGGAACATCAACTGATTGGTTACCACTTTCATTGGGAATTGGTTGATGTGTACTTTCTTGTGAGATAGGTGGACATCGTATTTGAGAGGTATCTTCATTTTCCATAACTAATTATCCTGTAAAATAATTAAGTTGTACATAAGAATAAGAATAAACTAGTATTCAAAATAAGAATAAGGATAAAGTAGTACTAATAAATGAAATATATAATAAACTAGTATTAATAAATGAAATATATAATAAACTAGTATTAATAAAATGAATGAAAGTGAGTGCAGTTGGACGGTAAAACAAAATGGATTTTCTAATTTAATACTATTATAATAAGAGTACAAAATTGTTGAATGTAAAACAAAACAGCATCCAATTTAATACTAAAAAATTGTTGAATGTAAAATAAAACAGCACCAAATTGCGCAATATTTAATGAGTGTTTAAAGTAATATTGAAATAGACATTGCTTTTGTATGCAACTAATTCTAATGCCTGACTTTGACTTATTACTAACTAAATTAGACTTTATAGCTAGCAGCTAGGCCTCCCTTCTTTTGACTATGTCCACAATCCACATGCCATTCATCACACTACTAATTCTTCACTCTTGTCTGTGTGGTCTCTTGTTTTGCCACTCAATTTTCTTTTTCTCTATTCACTCTTTTCTTACACATTTACTTCATCTTTTCCTTTAACTCACCCAAAGTGTCATCAATATGAAAGCCATGCGTTGTTGGATCCATCTATTGAGCTTCTAAGAAAGATTGTTTTCTTGAATTTAAAAGGTTGCAAAAGTCTTGTAAGCATACCCAACAACATATTTAGTCTCAGCTCTCTTAAAGTTCTAAAAATGTCTGGGTGTTCTAGGTGTTGTTTCAAAGAGTTTAGTAATACAGGGCATTTGGATATAACTGAAACTGCTTCACATTCCCAATCAACGTCCTCCATCTGCAAATGGACCTCAAAGCCTTACCACTCCTTGTTTTCCACTCCCACAACAGACACAATTATGTTTCCTTCCTTACTTAGCATATATTGTTTACATGAAGTTGATATTAGCAATTGTGGTTTAAGTCAACTATTCCCTGAGGCAATTGGATGCTTACACTGGTTAGAAATGTTAAATCTTGGAGGGAACAATTTTGTGACACTGCCTAGCCTTGGGGAGCTTTTCAAGCTTGTATATTTGAACTTGGAGAATTGTAAGAAATTGGAATATTTGCCCGAGCTTCCTTTCCCTACTACAATCGAGCAGGATCTTCGAAAGAACAAATATTGGAAGAGAACAGGATTGTTCATTTTCAACTGTCCTAAAATAAGTAGTAAGGAAAGATGCAGTAGAATGACATTTCCATGGATAACACAATTCATTAAAGTGAACAAATAAAACCATGCCTTCTTTAATATTGGTATCATAATTCCAGGAAGTGGAATACCCTGTCTTCTTTTGCCTCATTGCTGAAACAAAACTCCAATTCTGCCATTCCAAAAAGAGATTGCAAGCACTATCTCTTATGGATTGTGAGTTGTATGGTGAATTTCCAGTTGCAGTATTTCATCTTTCAAAATTGAAATATCTGAATTTGGGATATAATCCAAATCTCATTGACAGTTTGCCCGAATTTCAGTCTAGTTCACTCACCCAGTTATACCTTGAATACACAGGTTGTCCGAATTTCAGCTTAGTTCACTCACCCAGTAGTTATACCTTGAATACACAGGTTTTAATGATACACTTCATGTATCCATAGGAAAGCTTATCTCTTTAAGAACCCCATCAATTGAAACTTAGCTCTTTAAGAACCCTATTCAGAACCCTATCCACCAGGAAACCTAACACAACTCATACAGATAGACCTTCGACGTAACCTATATTATCCTTGGTAAATATTGACAGTGACACTGACATTCCATTATCTTTTGCAAATCTCACCAAACAAGAGATATTAGATGCTGGTAAATTAAAACCTAATAGGATGATAGAGTACATAGATGATAGATCTAACCTTTCAAATCCAGTGGCTGAGCAAAGGGGCTGGTGTGCGGCGAAGTCGATGGGATGATGTTGTGGTAGTGGTGATGGCAGCAACGCCGTCGGCCGTTGCGGACTTGCAGTGATTTTGCGTTGAGATTTGAGAGAAGAAGATGAGACTTGAGAAAATGCTTCTAAGAAGCTGAGAAAATAAAAGTAACATAAAAAATAATTAAAACAAGGTTATTATAGTAATTGGATTATTCGGGGCGGGGCGGGTGCGGGTGCAGGCGGGTCTCAGTGTCTTACCGCCCCCGCCCCTGCACCCGTAGTTAGAAACCGGGTTTTACCCGCCCCGCACCCGTACCCGTTTTAGCCGGGTTTTCCCCGTTAATTTCGAGGCGGGTCCGGACGGGGCCCAGCGGGTCTGAGTTTTTTTGCCATGCCTAACCCTAATTCAGCATTATTTGATTATTATTGAACTTGAAATTAACAAAACAAATTAAGCAAAAACAAAAAAATTGTGCAGTTAGAGTAAAAGGAGAATGTGACGGCTCAACTCCAAACACAATCTTCTACTACGAGCTCTATACGGTGACACTCTTCTCCACTCTCTCAGCGCCTCCATCGAATTCCATTCAGCACCACTTTGTGATCATCACTCTGTCTCTGCTTCGATTTCATCTCCATCTCATTCACCGTTCGGATTCAAAAACATCCCATCTCTGATCTTCTCCGAAGCTCCATCTTCATGTCAATACTAATTCGTCTATTCTTCACCGCGACTACATTGCGGCTTCGCCATTGTGAGAGACTGCTCAACAAACTTCAGATTGTTGGTTTTGTTCACACAAATGAACTTCACATCATGCCAACAAGATCAAGGCATAGAATATAGGAGATAATGGAAGAGTGATTTACCTATCAGAGACGCTCTGGAAATGACATTAATAATAGAACCGAAAACAAACTCAGGTACATATAACTTCGCTTGTCCGTCTACTCCTTGCTTTCGTTTCTTCTGAATTGTACCCGCGTTGATGATGTTGTGACGTTTAGGTAGATGATGAAACATGATGAAGATTATAGGTGAGAGTGAATATTATTGAAGATTAAACTAGAAAAGGATTAAAGATGAAGATGATGTTGAAGCGTGCAGGTTGAAGCAGTTGATGAAGATTGATGGTGTGTTGATGATTCGTTTAAGATGAAGATTGAAACGTTGGATGAAGATTCCAGAGGAAACACAGAGAAATATGGAGATAAGTTTGAAGGTGCAAGGTTGATGACGATTATAATACAGCGATGAAGAAACTGCAATGATGAAAATGATTTGTTGAAGAATCTAGAGTGATTGCAGAGAGAGAGAGAGAGAGAGAATTCTAAGGTGAGTGTTGAAATTTTCTGTTATTCTTGTTGTGAATCAATTGTGAAAAGTGAATCCCCCTCTTTATGAACTATCCATCTGTTATATAGGAATTTCTCGGTGAATTCAGTTACAACTCAATCAACTCAGGCCATTAGATTGTCAGAATCCGTTAAGAGATGAAGAGCCTAGATTGATTCGGTTAAGAGTTAGTTTTTAGTTAGTGATTCTGTTAGAAATTTTGTTAGTTGTTAGTTAGGATTGTTAACTTATGTTATCTCTATTAATAACTGCCAGTGGGATTTTTGTTAGGAAAACTAAGGTGTGAGATTGAAAGTTGTCTCATCTAACATTCTGTTATGCATGCTGAGCTGGAATTGCGTTTTTTTAACTTCCTTATTTTCTTTTCCCTCTATTTTTCTTGTTTTGGTTTTCTCCTCTTTCCATGATTTTCCATTTTGATAAGCTCACAAACTGGTTCCATTGTTTTAATACAGGACATGAACTATTTTTAGCAGGGCAGTTCATGTGGGAAGTTTGGAAACTGAACTAGTTTTATAATGTGCAGGTCTTCTATGTGGTTTGAATATTAAGGATAGCTTGAAGCGGTTTTAGTTTATTTGTTTTTTTTCTACTGCTTGAACTATTTCAATGGGGTGCTTTATTTTCATTTTGGATTTCCTGTTTTGAATCAAGATGTTTGGACAACAAGTATATGTGCTTTTTAATGTACTGAATGTTGATTCTTTTACTTGACTGATGCATTCTCGTGATGGACTGTTTTGAGATGAATAATGCATGTTGGTGTCTGAACTGTGCAGGTTTTGATGATGATGTAAGTTTGCATCTGGTATACCATATAGGTAGTGATCTGGTGTAAGTGTTATGAACTTGAAATCTAACTGACCTCGTATTGCATATGGATGTTAGAATGATGTAAGGTTGAAATTGTTGCAGATTAATCATGGCATCATATTTAAGCATGATCCAAGGTAGTTGAACCACATGGAGATAGCATGGAGAATCATCTTTAAGACAAGAAGCTTGAATTATAGATAAGAGGATGGTAAGTCGTGAAGGTCTTATCATGGAGAGGACATGAAGATCTTCAGATGCTTAGATCATTAGGTGTTTTATGATGTTATCATGTAATTCTCCTTGTGCAATGTGACGTGTTTGTAACGATTTTGTGTGCCAATGGGATAAAACCTCTTGTAACCCCTTTTGAATTTAATGATAAATCCTAGAAATCCAGAATAATTATTCTCTCAAATTGAATATCTTTCCTCTTTATTTTGTAATGGTACTAATGGAATGATGATATACTTGGCATTTGAAGAATTTAATTTGGAACCCTTTAAGTGATTACATATGCCTCATAACTTACTTTATCCAAGACATCCACGTACATGAATGTTTTAATCTTGAACTTTTGAATTACTTTGTGATCAATGTTGATACCATAATGAAACCATAAACCAAAACCTTGAATAATCTGTTCGTATTAAACTTATATCACATTTGGATGAAGCTTTTAATCTTGAGTTGAAGAAACTTATCTCAATTGAATGACCAGTGACTTGTGTCATGATTCATGTTTTTGCACTTTAAACCCCAAAGACTTCCTAGCTCGAGAACCAACAATCTTGCAACGAGATTAAAGCCGCGAGGAACAAATGGAATACAGGTGATAAGAATGTAAGTATGAAATCCAATGACCTTCAGTTGAAATGTTGACAAACTCAACCACCCTGGATAAAAACCTAATCCACTGATAAGTATCATAATGAGAATAAGATGTGGATTCAATCCTCTAAGCTTCTTGAAAAGAATATCTTATGGTGAAAACAATTAGGAGGAAACCCCAATTCTCTTGATTTAGATGCAAAATGATGAGGAAATGACTTGACGTATTAAGAGGAATCAAAACCCTAGCTCATGGTCTGCTCAATTGCAAGATCTAATGAAACCTAAGCACATAAAGTTAAAGCCCTAATGCACTTGTTCTTGAGGAACTTTTGATGAAGACAAATTTGTATATCGGGATATTTTGCCAAGAAAAATGTCTGTGATGCTTATGATCCAAAATCCTAGTTTCGTAACAAGAATGATGAGAGCACCACTTGAATCAACTTTGAGTATGGTAGCAACCTCAATTCATAGGGAAAAATATAATGCCAAGAGTCCTTTGATCCCGTAACCATGGAATCTATGATATGCATGAGATATATATGATATGATGAGAGATCTTAGGGACAAAAATTGGGGTATAACAACTTCCCTTATTTAAGTGTCTTCTATCCGGAGATATGAAGGTTGAAATCTTCGTATCAACGCGATTGAAGATGCTTAAATATAAAACAAACCCTATTTTTGGCCCTAATATACCATGCAATACTCATGATTATGAATGTAAAATATAAACTTCATGCAGGTGAACAAGACACACTGGAGAAGCAAAAAAAAAAAACCAACAAACTAAAAAAAGAGTTTGACCAGGAAAATAAATCTCTTGGGAACAACACGACTCTGGGGATAGAAATTTAAATCCATTGGAGACAAATCAACTCTGCTTGGGAAAAGAGGACTCATATCTATTGGGGTAAAGCCAAGAAAGGAGACAAAGTAGCATCAACTCGATAAAAATGAGGAAAAAGTAATGGATAACAGCGATTAACCGATAACTGTAACCCATCCACTCATAGAAGAGATAGAAAAAAGAGAGTAACATCAACTCATAGGGGATTGGAAATTCTTAACCCGAAGGGCGTGCATAGAAACAGTAAGATAATATCGGCTCAGAGATGACAGTTTTAATACGGTGGGAGAACTGACTTGGTTTTTTGCCTTTTATCGCAATTGTTGCGGATAGCAAGAGTCACTACCGATTTTTATTTTATCCAATAAAGGAAAGGGTGAAAAAAGCAGGAAAGACTTTTTGAGAATTTTCTTGAGTTCGAGGGGTAGGTTATGAAAAGGGAAGGTGTTAGCATCCTTTTCTTCCGTAGTTATCTACGGACTCTTAGTTGCTAGCTCACTTTGAAATGCTTTGTTTGAAATGTGTTTGTGATTGATTTTGATAGTATTTTTGAAAAGTGCCTTCGTTTAGGCGAGCTTTGTAATGATTATCGTCTCTATAAGAATGCATACAAAGTGTTGACTTTTGAAAATATTTCATTTGAAAGTGTTAGTGTGTTTGAATGATGTTTTGAAAATGGTTGTGAGCAAGCAACTACGAGCGTTCTACCTACTCAAAAAGTCTTTGTTCATTTCTTTCTCCTTTAGATATTTCTACCTTACCATTGATTGATAAGAAGCCCTATCATTGGATGTGAAAGGACATGCATGAGTCATCGTATAGTCATAGAATGTAATATTGTGAGATACCTTAGCAATTTTGTAAGGGTCTAAGATCATTTACCGAAGGCAACATTTGAAGGGTCATCAAGGGACTATGATCTTGTTTTGATTGTTTTTGCTAATGTATCCCACGTTTGCGTGACATGACTGCTTATTTCTCAAGGCAACAAGTGAAGTTAACCCTAGAGGTGCAAGTGTACAAAGTGTTTATTTTTCATGCTTTTGTCTTTGAATTAGGGTTTTCTACTTGTTGATTTTATTTCTTGCCATACAAACCCTAATTACTAGCATTTATATGAAAGCGATAAATTGCGGAAATGTAAAATTCTACGCTAGTACATCATTTGGGGACGGGGGTAAAAATTTACAAATGGGGGATAAAAGAAATTAAACCTAATTATTATTACGACCATATTGAACGAACAAATAATGTACAATAATAATAAAAGCAATGTGAAAGGAAAAGAAAACTGTTTTTTTATTAAAGTTTTTATATGAAAGAGATTTAAACCTAATTAGACTAAAAGAGAATGATTAATGTCTAAAAAGACTAAACCTAAATTAAATAAGAAAAAAGAAACAAATTAATTAAGAAAACAACTCTTAGATTTTTTATTTATGAAAAGATTTTAACCTATTTAATTAAAACTAAAAAAAAAAGAATAGAAAGAAATTAATTATTTAAACTCTTAAGTTTTAAATTAATTAAAATAAACTAATTCTAATATTAATTTAATTAAGAAAAGAATTTGGCTAAAGAAAGATTTTTGGTCTTTTTATCTAAAAGAAATTAAATGAAAAATACACTAAATGTCTAAATAATAAATATAAAATATTTTTGGTATTTTTATTCAATAAAATGATAATAATAATAAAATAATAGAGAAAAAAATAAAATAAAAAAATTAAAGTCAGGGGGTTTAAAAATGGAAATGGTGGTTAACAAAAGTAAAAAGGACGCTAGGCCCAAAAGTATTTTTTTGTTCAAGTCAAAAAACAAAATAAATGGCCCTGTGTCCAAAAGCAATCAGGGGGGTGAGAAGCCAAAAATGATCCAGGCCCAGAACAAAGTCCAACGCCCTCTAGTGATCCAGTGTGGTCATCTTTGAAGGGTGCAACATGGGGGCATGCATGTGTTGTGTTGAATTTAATGGCTTAGCTGATCTGATGGTGATGAAGAAAGGCACATGGTACATGCGCTAGCTTGGCTCGCATTGAATCTGAAATAAGAAAAAGTGAAAAAACAAAAGGGTACCACTGGGGCTCAAACCCAGGTCCCTATAGTCACAGGCGCGCACTTCTACTACTAGGGTGGCTATACATCCGTTTATTAATACAAAACCATAAATATATATTATAAACACGTTTCTGAAGACATGTTCATCTTCTTCCTCGCGCCAGCCATGGACAAGAAAATTTGAAATTGTAACTCTCTCATTTCTCCACCATTTGCAAAAGTATAAACATGAAAGTTATGCATTTTCCCACTACGAATCCAACCATGTAAATTATGTATGATGATTAATTTTGTTGGCTCCAAACTGAAACCTAATTTATTCAGAAAGTTCAAACCCAAAATTTCCAATGCACAGTCAATGAAAATGAAAACTATGAACATGGTTAGCTTTGGGGCAATGATATCTACATTTTTACTTCAGCATGTATGTAAAAAGGATGCTTGTATAAATATATTGAAGTTAGAAAACTCACCTCTTGCAGATGGATTCATGTATGAAGTTTGAGCAAGCTTTGAGGTGTCCTAAGGATTTGTTTAGCTTGCCTGGACCTCCTCGAATGTATTCCAACTTCTACTTTGCTTTAAAAGTCCCTGAGTCTCTCTACTCAAGTCAACCTGCAAGCTTGATGTTTGAAAATAGTGAATGATGGAAATGGGGTTACAGAAGTGTAACAGGTGTTGGGATGGATTTGATATGATATATAGAGAGTGTATGGATGATTAGATTTGAAAACGCACGAGTGGTTTTTGATTTGGAGGTTTGAAGCTCAAAACTGTCAAGTTATGGCCAGTTCTGTGCAGCAGAGTGCTTGGGATCTTTTAGGGTTCTTGAGCCCGTGCCCTTGATTGCAAATAGTTTCTATAGTTATATGAAAAAGGTTAGAGGACTTGAAGTTTACAGATCTGTGAGATATATGGTTATGGCTATGATACTTGATTTTGAAGAAAAATGGAAAACATGGTTTCAAGGCATAGTACAAGCATGGTATGAGTTTATTGGATGCTCTAGACATATTTCTTTTATCTTTTACATTGCTTGTACTCAGATGAAACAAGTTGGTAGCTTAAGAAGTTGACTTTGCATAAAAGCTTGCTTTACTAGAATGGAAATGGTGACTTTCTCCCTAAAATGACAAAGTACTTTGGATAATGCTTGAATGAATTGGACAATTGATCAATCAGTTGTGTAAACATTAAATTATGGAGTGATTAACATGTTTGAGGCCTGCATAGAAGAGATTATGCAACATGACTATGAATTGGTCAAGTGTTCATCACAAATTCTGCCTTGTAAATCAAGAATGAAACCCTAGCTTCATCTCTTCGATTCTCTTAGCTCAAGCATGATATAAATTAGTTCTTGGGATTTTTGGAAAGCTTGTAATATCCTCTACAACCTTCATGTTTTCAATTTTTTAATAATCCAATTGGAACTATGTGAAAAATTGTCATGAAGTTGGTACCAAAAATCTGCCTAACTAGGTCAAATTTT